GAGTTCCCATTAAATTGAGGAAAGAAGTTAACTGAGTTTGAGCCAATAAGGCTCTACTGTGTACACATGGAGCAATGTTGAAAAAACACACAAACACCTTGGGCAAGCAGAACACAGTCTTTACTCACCAATTGTTGGGTCGTATTCATCTACAAAGCTAAAAGTAAAAAAAAAAAATTTGTCTTAATTCACTTAACTATAGAATGGAGCAGCTTAAATCTAACTTGAAGAGGACTGATAACCGCAGGGCGTGAAATTAATCTTTTTTTCTTTTCTAATAGCCACTTGGCTCCTAAATTCATCAAAGTGGTAACAAATTCAAAAAAAGTTGGTCGCCATTTTGAAAGACAAACAAAACCTTTTTTTTTACGCTGTCATTATTCTAGAAATTAGGTAAGGGAAAAGATCTTTAACGTGCTACAAAGGGGACACTAGGATGGATGATATGCAACATTTAAGCTCACCTAAATCCAAGATGGCATCTAGTTATCGATTGAGATGCATCTGCTGCGTTTTGGAAACAAACTTAACAAGGAAGTTTGCTGCAGATTTGTCTTTGCAAATCTTTTTAATTCACCATATCTCTAGGTAAGGTTATGATGAAACATTTTAGTCGCCAATTTGGCAACTAATTTTCAGGATTTGGTTGCCAAAGTGAAAAATTTAGTCACATTGGTGCCTGTATTAGGCGCAATTTCACGCCCTGAACCGGAATAGAAAAAGCATTTCGAAATGAGCTATAATGATACTGAACAAAATACATTGTGTACACTTTGCATTTACTGGTTGTTTAAGTAAGCCTCAAAATGTGATTTACAATAACTACATTTCAATAGATTGGAACAGAATTAAAACAGACAACAGGAACAAAACTGGAAAACAACAATGGAAGGTCAGACATTTCCCTTGAGAATCATTTTTGCCCTCTCAAAATTAAAATTTTAACGTCTAATTCATATCAGTGACACTTTCTGCTTTGCTGTTAAAAAAAGAATAACAAAAACCACAAGGTGAGGAGGGGTTCTAATGGTTGTATTTTTTTTGTTTACAAGCAGATGGGCCTATAATAGAGGGGGGACTTATGAACAGAAAATTATAATAGAGTGCTATTTCTGTGTTGCCCTCTAAAGGTCAGAGCATGAAAAAAATATAAATTGGAAAATATTAAAATGACATTCACTGCTACTAGGTGACCTTTTAACTGCCACAAATTTTATAAAGAAGGGCATAAATGCCAGCTAATGTCCTTCATTAGTCAAAGTTCTGTTTATTGAAAATAAACAATGATCATATAATGTAAAACATATGCATATTCTTGCTCTACTTGTCCTATTTATTGTTGTTAATAAGTATGATGAAAAAAATTTACCTCTGTCTTAGTCTACCCCAAACTCCTAACTCTATACCCCACCTTTAAATCTGTGCCCACACCCTTTTTACTCTCCCCTCCCATGGTATACAGTTAACTTTTCACATGTACATCAACAACTCCCCTACTAGAATGGAATAAAACCGAAAGGCCCAAATATGCTCATGAAATAACCATATGGATTACTCTTTAACCAAATTTACTTACGAGAGAAAGAAAGAAAGAAGCTTACGAGTCTAAGTGAGAGAATTCAAAATTACCCTACTCCGCGCACAGTCTTAGCGAAGAGTTCCTGTTTCAGCTAACAAGGGCGAATACAATAATCCATACGATGAAGGGGAGGTTTAAACACATGTTTGCAAAACATCAATCGTTTGATATGAAATCAAATGAAGGCTTGTGGACTTGTAGTAAATAGTACGATTTTGCAAAATGCTGTTGTTCGATCGAATTTATCGGGGAGCGTCTGATAAAGTTGAATTTACAGGTAAGTTGCCTTCAAAAGCTTGTTGTTTGTTAGAAGTAACATGTACCGACTCACGCTACGACGATTTTGAGGGAAAGAACTCAATACGACATGCACATTTAAATCGAAGTTTACAGTACTTCCAAAATCGAACGACTCGGTGAAATATTCTGAATTAAAATTCATCCCGGGGCGTAAATGAGTCCCGCTTGAATGTAACTACACTCAACCCTTGCATAATTCGCCACAACACAACTTCCAAACAGAACAACAAGTTAAACTGTGCACGAACTGGTTCTGTAATAGACAGACACTTACTGATTTTGAATGAGTTGTATAGTCAACGCACTTTTCCCAACACCGCCGGCTGCAAGAGGAACAAAAGCGCAGAATTAGGTTGGAAGGATCAAATGTTCAGCGCAATCGGTTCAAACAGACATTGAAAGATCAAACGTTCCATCGATGGAGAGCACCAGAATCTGATTACCTCCAACCACCACCAGTTTGTATTCAGTCATGGCTTACCAACACCAAACTATCCACGACTTCTGTCTCCGCTCTAATATAGTCTACTTTCCACAGCGCAAAGTGCTAATTTTTTTTCTGATCAAGGTCGAAGCCGGGTACAGATATCGCGCATGGAAAGTGAGTCACAGGCCGTTTATATAGCCAAGCTAAATTTATCAACCAATCAGCATCTCGATATGTTCTATCTGACCAATCAAGGCTTTTATATCCTCAGTGGCTAAGTTCTTCTTATATAAGAACCACCCAATTTTCCTATTGAGAATTAGTCAGCAAACTAAGGGCGATTTTTAAGAGGATTTTTTTTAAACTTTATGAACATCGCTGACTCTTCCCTTGAAAGAAGCAAAAAGGTGAAACATTTGCGATAAACTGATCTTGGTTTGAATCCTGATTTGAACTCATCGAGCATGTGTTTGAAAAACAAACCTGTGATTGGTAGACTTTTATTTTTTATTTATTAATTATTATTATTTTTTTGCGAAGCGACTGTATTAAACAGAAACCTTGTATCTAGCGCACATCATACCGAATTCATCGTAAAATGACCTGTATTCAGAGGAAAAGCAAACGTAGACTCTAGAATTGAGCTCTTCGTGACCATATACCTATACTCAGCGGACTTTTCAAGGGGCTTTGTTATACGTCGTGTGCCTCACTCCCGGAGTTCTGTGCGGCGTATAAATATCTATTTTTCCGCTGATTTCCGGTAAGGATTGTGCCGAAGAGGAGGACTGCTCGTGGTCTGTTGCTAATGGTGACGTCATCTATGCGTCTGTCCTCCATTAGACTGATAAGAACCAATCAAAATTCATGTATAATTTAGTTTATCGTATAAATAATGCCTTCTGCGGTTTTAAATTGATGATCGTTCCAGTCATTTTCATGACCATAATGGCGTAAGGAGAAATTTAAGATTATTACAGGTTAAGGGTTAAGCAGACACTGGCAAAGGACCCGTTCTTTTCATTAAAAGAGAAGTATGCCCCAGAAAGCATAATTTTTTTTTCTTATCTCCGCCCTCTGATAAATACATATAAACAGATAAACTATGTACTACAAGCTTCCTTTGTGATTCCATAACTCACCTGATGAAAAATTTCCACGTTTTATCCGAGTCAAAACAGAAAAAAAATAATCGCATACGCAAGTATTAAAGTAAGCAAGCGTAGCGATGTATGCGCACATTTCGCACCTTTGATTGTAGACCACGTGAATTCCAACAATTTTTGTTCTCAAACCATGCGCAGCTCAGCCGAATTTCCAACGGTGATTGTTTACTTTGTGACATTGAAAAGAAATGGATTTACTGAGTATCCTTCATGTCACGATTACATTCAGAGGCACTGTCCGAATGTGTGGTTGAGGAAGACAGCGGAAAAACATAGATGAGTCGTACGAGTTTTATCAGACCTTTTATATTATAAAACTCCTGCGGAACTGATCCCAAATCTGATCCTCGATTCACTTATACAGATATCAGGGTCTCACATTTGGTATTGAATTAAGTTTTGCTGGTGTCATTCGTCTGTTGTTATGGATAACTCCAGGGGAGAAAGACTCCATTCCGAGTTCCACAGTTCTGCAAAATATCTAGACTTCCAGGCTACAACCGTGATGATAAGAGTAACTTTGCTTTATAGACGTGGTAGTATAATATATATATATATCTGAAGGTTGAACCAATCAATACGACATAACTTTTCTGTGACTCTGAGTTTCACGCTTACGCGATCATCAGACCTAATGATCAGATCATCAGGTCTGATGATCGCGGAGGACTGCTCTTGCATTTACGTTTTGGGCCTGGGACTCACAAACAATCAGGGTCCACAATGAGGATTCGAATCTCGAGCATTCAGCCTAATTAAAAAAGATAGCAGCTTGGCGGAGAGTTTCGCGTCCCGAGGAAAGGTGCATTTATTCTAAAATATAAAAGAGTGCCAGATATTAACATAAAAACCTTTTGCAAGCAAATCCTTAAAACACGCAAGATACAGACGTAACAATCCAATGAAAGAGAATCCTAGAAGTGCGCTAGATACTGACGTAAAAATCGAACGAAGGATAGTTCTAAAAGTGCGCAAGATACTAAAGTAACAATCTAATCAAAGAGAATCCTTAAAATGCGCGAGATACTTGCGTAACAATCTAATGAAAGATAATTCTAAAAGAACACGAGATACTAACGTAATATATAATCCTATGTAAGATAATTCTTAAAGTGCGCGAGATACTGACGTAATAATCCAATGTAAGATAATTCTAAAAGTGTGCGAGATACTAACGTAACAATCCAATAAAAGATAATCCTAAAGTGCGCGAGATACTAACGTAAAAATCTAATGAAAGAGAATCCTCAAAGTGCGCGAGATACTTGCGTAACAATTCAATGAAAGATAATTCTACAAGTACGTGAGATACTGACGTAACACTTCAATGAAAGAGAATCCTTAAAGTGCGTGAGATACTGACGTAACAATCCAATGTAACATAATTCTAAAAGTGGTTGTATCTTGACACGTGACGACTAGGAACCCTTTCTTACGCGGCAGCTCCGCATTTAGATAGGTATTTTCCATGAGGTGGAAAACGGTTTTGTAGTCGATAATTTTATTCATTATAGCCGGGACTTCTAAACAGGAATCAAGCTGTGCAACATTTGATAAACCTGCAAAGCCTACAAGTGACTAATAAGGCCGGGAAAGACAAAGTTATTAACTCGAGTGTTTTGCATCAGTTTAACACCAAATTCTCTTCGCTAAATGTTAGGCCCGGTTCAATTTATGTTATCAGGAGGATCCCAAGTCAGATACTAGAAGTTACAGTTCATAAAAAAAAAAGAAGAAATAAGAAGACTGATGATCAAAAGTTCCAGGCCGCCTTCATAATATTTCATAATATTTACTTGCCTTCACGTTAGTCATGATTAAACAACAAGACAAAAAAAAATGCGAAAAAAGGAGAAAAAGAAAAAGTGACGATAAGGCAGATTTCAGCAAGGCGATCACTCATTGGTTTACAATACAAAAGACAGCACGCAGTATCCCAAAGTACACTGCGAAAACCCCAGGTGACATGCGCTGGCCTGCAGCAACTAGGATTGGTGGACAGTCGGACTTCTCGGTTGGAAGAGGCTCAGCGATTTTTGGTATCGGCACCGTGAAGTTTGGATTCAATGTGTCCTGAGGAAAACAAATATAGCGCAAGTCAATTCAGAAGAAAGTGTAATAATAAAAATTGAACTTCGAGACGACTGTGGTTGTGCATAAGTATCGTGTTTCCACAACTCAGCAGTGAAATTATCTCTGGAATATTCTCCATTTTAAATTTTGTTTTCGCATCTGTACTCAAAATGTTGCCCAGAAAAATGGCCATGTCAAGGAATAAGGCGTTCGCTTTATACATCTGTAGATAAAACATGGTCAGAAATCTCCTTCTGGAGTCACTTCCATTAGAAAATTTCGTAATGGCCAAGTTTGCCTCACTCATTAACTTACAGGTAAGGTTTGGAGAGTCGGATGTTGAAGAAACGTGGATACTTACAGCAACAGAGGAAAATTTACGAATACCACAACGAGGAAATACTCTCTGAACTTCTTCGTTGTACTCTCTGAAGTCAGCCACCATTTCATTAGTCCAGTCCAATGACGTTTTGGTCATAGGATTACGGTATGGAGAGGTTAAGCCAGCATCTTTCCTGGAGTCAAGGCCAAATCAAACAAACAAATAATCAAGCATATCGCCATGCTCGTGAAAGTTTTTTTTTTTTTTTAACAAAATACTTATTTGCTCGCTAGCGAATTCCACACAGGTTACTTTAACATGCTAAATTTTTTTCCAGGCCTTATTTTCGCTACTGCTCAAGTAGTGTTCATTACTGCGAAGATCGTTTTCATATTCACGTCTTTATCCGCAGTTCACATATATGATTTTCATGTATCCACAGCCATTGATATTTTAACATTTGCAAATCAAACATCACGCACGAGGCGTGTATATCACAAATGAACCTATTGTTTAAGCGTACGGCTTCGATTTCTGTTGAGCTTTCAATAGTTGAATAATGACAAAATACAAAATACTAAACAAGTTGGTCCAATAGTTATCGATTGATGGAACAAGTCTGCAGGTTGATCTTCTCGGAATCAGGTGGCATGACATGTTAAAAACGTACATTGCACCTTGTTTAGTCAAGGGAACAAACCATAATTTTCTGGCTCATTTTTAAAGAACACGAGGACATGCAGTTTTTTTCAAAACATAGTTGGCTGTCAGCCCACAGAACATCTGAGAAGCCGGGGAGGAGGGGGGGGGGGGGGGGGGAAAGGTAGGGAAGGGAACCGTCCAACTAATACAACAACCTTGAAATGTCAAATACGAGTTTAAACGAGACTCACAAGTATTTTTTGATGAACTTGTATGGAGGACCATATGCAGTACTTTGACACAATTTGATCTTGGGTACACGTGGATAATAGAACAAGAAGTCCAAGCACATTTCTTCTCTCGAAGCAATGCCTCCCTAAATATGGATAGGTGTAGGGAAAGAAACAGTGCAATCAATGTAGCCTGCATTAATTCCTAAGTTATTGAGGACGATTGGAAGGGTGGATAATTGAAAATTAGCGGTCCTCAGGGAAACAATTTTTTGCGTGTTTTCCTAGGGTGCTCCAAGGTCTTTTACCAGGACTGTAACACATTGGTTCGCGTCCTGTTTAAAATAATGAAACTATGAAGCAAGATCATCACCTTTTTAGAAAACGGATCGTTATAATTGTTACCTTCGTTAGCTGATCCCTGTCCATAGAATTGTATTTACAGTAGTGAATCATTTCGTCTCCCTTGAAGGAAAAAATAAGGCAAAACGAGAGCATCGGTTATGTCAAGCACTGATTTGCAGCATGCAATGACTTACATATGATAATATTGGTAAAATTATTTCGAAAATGTAGTTCATCGGTTATGTAGTATTTTACATGTATACTCACCGGCTGAATGTTGATTTCTTTTCTGAGAACTTGTGTGTCCTGTGAACAAGAACGAATGGCATCATTGTTCGCTGGGGTGTTGGTCGCGTTTGGAGGAGAAGGAAGGTGGAAGAAAAGGGGAAGACGGAAGTTCCTAATTTGCATGGATTTCCCTTTTTGTTAAGAAATCACTATATTCTATGATGACAAAACAACCATGCCAACAAATACCAGCAAGAAACTATTTTAGGATGTGTCTGCCTGACATCCCAACAGGAAATGTTTCTAGCCCCTGCTTTTATTATTTCTGGCTGAGAAGTGAAAAGAAGTACCGGGTAGTACTTCTTCACAGAGCACATCCTGTTCGTAAGATTTAAGTGCACCAACAGTACCCCTACCTGGAAATTGAAGTCGTAGTGATCGTCACGCGCAATTTCTGGAAGTTCTTTTCCATTTCGAATATGTCTAGTCCATATAGCTCGACCTATTAATAGAATGCGTTTGTATTCAAAGAGAAGACTTTTTCATCTGCAACGTACGCACGCGACAACACACAAATTAATGATGGTAGTAACTGTGTGATAAATAGCTGTTTGTAGCCATAAACATAGTGGGGAAAAAAGTAAAACCGGGATTCCCAATAGAGTTTGGGGCGACGAAATCTCCGATTATCTTTTGGAAGACCTACCTTTAAACTTCAGAGAGCTGAAGGGAAATAAACTTAAGAGACAGTTCGGTGGCTTCATATTTTGTGAAGCATTTAGTAAGTTGCTTATTTTATGGTGATCTGTTTACATCCAGCATTTGAGTTAAGATATGAACTCAAAATCCGAATTTATTTGGGTTTTAGCTATCTCAACAAGTTCTCTGATTCTGGTAGTCTTCCAGTGTCCTCCATTAACGGACGTGTTTGGTTTGCCTTCCGATCTTTGTCTTGGATCTACACTAATTCGTGAGGTGCATCTGAAAATGTTTGAGTTAGCGTTTTGATAATACATGTGTAGTCTTTCACGGTTATTTGGCCCGCACGCCCTCTCATGCCTACCGATATTGTCTATGAAAGCATGTACTTTAGATTTATTGGTCAGTGAGAATCAAAGTCCATCGGACTTGATCGGAGTCAGAGAGATTAAGGAAAAGAGAAGTGAACTTGCTGTAAGTAGAATTGTAGCAGAAAACAGATATCAGAGAAGAACTAAAAAGGCAAGTAAATGATTTCGGTAATCCAACTTCCATTAGGGCTTTCTGTGTTTGCTTTTTTATTCATTTGCTTACAGATTCCTGTACAAAAGGGGCGAAAGCGTACGAAGTAGGGGTTAATGGGTTACGTTCCCTGCCCCCCCCCACCATTCGTTACTTTACCAAAGTTTTTTGGCCGAAGGACCCGAACAAGAAATAATTTATCCATTCGAGCATCAAATGACTGTTATCCTCGTCGAAGGTGAGCTTACCAGCCAAATGAGTGTGAAGTATGGAGGCAAACACATTGATGCCTCCCCCTTGTAGAGACGTCGAGTTAAAGATGGACTGAAACAGAAATAGTATCCCATGAGACGCCAGTTTTTCGGTCATACACAAGTGCGATTACTCATCATGTTGTACCACGCACAGTCCTTGACGTATCATAGATCATCTCTTTCGTTTTTCTTTTCGATTACACCTCACTACACATAAATTTCTGAGTAACATATCATTGAAAATTCGCACACTCAGCGAAAATTTGGTCAAGGCTTCCTAAATTACGTATTTG